GGGGAGGAGTGGCGGCCCGCCGCGACGTGATTGGCACACTACGGTCCGCCGCCGGGACACCTTACACCGGCGCCCGCAACTTCCCCACAAGGTCACCGCTGCGGCTGGGCCTCGGTGGCCTTGTGGGAAATCTGGGCCCGGTAGAGGCGCCTGGACTGGAGTGATGTAACATTCTGGCTCCCGGCACCTCTACAGGGCACGCAAGGGAGCTGTACCAGCAATGCATGTTACATAGTTACACAGTACATGTTACATGTATAGATGGAGCTCCATCACAGCACAGTAGCCCGCACTGGACCCCAGGCTGAGGATCCACTCCAGCACTAGTGAGATAGGGAGACGGGGTGGATCTTAAAAGAAAGGAAAACATTTTTTTTTTGGAGTGTGTATGTGTGTGTGTGAGGATGTCTGTGAGTGTTTTTGAGGGACCGTTCACAGTAAGGCTGGGTTCACACCTGAGCGTGTGGACTATGCACGTTTCGGGCCGCGCGTTTTTACCGCGATTTGCGGTTAAAAAACGGGTGACAAACGCGCGTTTACGAGGGCTATCCGGTTGTATCCTAATGGATACGCGCGGAAAATACGCCCCAAAGAAGCTCCTGTACTTCTTTGGGCGCAGGGCGTTTTTCAGCGCGTTCCTATGCGCTGAAATACGCCCAGGTGGGAACCATGCCCATAGGCAATCATTGGTTTTCACATGCTGAGCGTTTTACAGCGCGTCGATCAGCGCTGTAAAACGCCCAGGTGTGAACCAGGCCTCATACAGTCTCATGCGATTTCTGGTGTGGGAGGTGTGTTGCATTGCTATTCATTTGAGTGGCACCCCAAACACACCTCGCACCCACAGTTCGATCGCCCGCACTGGAACGCGTGGTCCTGCAATGCCGCACGTTCCATTGCAGTACGACTTGGGTCGCGACTTAATGACCAGGGACAAATGCGGGTCCTGAGGTTACACAGGTTGAGAGCCACTGATCTAGGACAACATAGGCTGATTTGGAAATTTGTTCCAATTCAGCTCACATCTGAACTAGTTTTGACCATCGATCTAATTCATATTCTCATAATGAAGTCTTTTTATATATATATAAAGTCTGAAATCCCAAAAGTGCACCGGTGCAAATACTTGTGAAATGCCTCCACCAGTATAATATCGACAGTCAGGTGACTTCTGTGAATCAGTGACGTGCGGTACCTCTTGCTGGGGGTGAGCCATTCTGAAGCTCCGCCCCTGCCTGCCGAAGCTCTGTCCCGCCTGACGAAGCCCCACCCCCAACCAGTCCCCAAGCTGGTGTAAAGGAGCCTCCCTGTCCCTCACTTGCTCCTCACCGCTGAGGCTCCGTGACAGGAGGTATTTCCCTGCTGTGTAACCTGTTAGATGCCGATCTGAATGGAGAAAAAGCTGTCAGCATCAGACATGAAGCTGACAGCATTCTCCTCCAGAATTCTAGGTGAGGCTCCGCCCCACCTGCCTCCCCTGACCGCACGTCCCTGCTGTGAATAATGTAAAATACGATGTGATTCTTCTATTTCCCAGCTGGACAACATTTATTTTTTATTATTCTGTGCAAAATACATATAATACAAAGAGTTCAGCCGGTGTAAGCCGTAGCGGATGCCTCCACCACAATCCTCTTTAGTCCCCGTTCACACTGAGCGACATGACAAACAGCGTGATTTTCTGTGCGATTTTGAGCTGAGCGACATTGCAAATTTTGTCGCGGTATGCAGGGACTTTTCGCAGGGACTTCGTAGCTGCTGCATTGGGCTGTAACCAATCAAAAGTTGTCTTGATGTGACATCATCCCTTCCTTCTTATTTCTGTGCAAAAAGTGACACTTCTTTAGCGCGACATTGAGCTACACCATTGAAGTCTATTGGGGCCGAATCACGCGAAAATCCACAAAAAAATAGGTCATGTTCTAGCGACGAGCTTCAGGCGACATTGCGCGGTGAGATGTGAACAGCTCCATTGAAATGCATTGGACGAGCGACATTGAGCGGATATTTGCGCGGTTTTGGAGCTGAAATCGCGCGACCAAACGCTCAGTGTGAACGGGGACTCTCTCACAGACCTATAAAGAAGGTCTGACCGTGTCTGTCCTCTTTAAGGGTTGGCTCACAAAACAAACCGTGTGGTCCAGAGCGGTCAGCCTCTAGCACGCACTGTATTGCATTCTGGCCGGCTTTCTGTGTTAAGGGGCGGGAGGGGGGGTGATGGTGCGTTGAAGCCAAATACATTGTAACCACGATGGTGCGTTGGAGTCAATGACATTGTAGCCACGCCCCCTCCCCCCCGCTCGCAGTGCGATTGCCTGCACCAGAACACGCGCCACATCATTGCCTGCGTTCTGGTCCTGTGCGATCTGCAAAAATGATGCAAGGCTGACCACTCTGGAACGCACTGTTTGTGGGGTGAACCGGCTTTTAGATCTATAGGCAAAGGAACATAGCCCACTCTCCAATGGATGAGATGTCACTGGGTAGACATGTGCGATTCATTTAAGGAAAAATTCATTTTTCGGAGGAATTTTCGTTATTCGGAGATTCGGATGTATCTGAATGTCCGCATAACATAAACGGCGAATGAAAATGAATCTGAATTTCCGAAAACGACATTTCGAACTAAATTCATTAGCGGTAATCTGTAAGAATTTTTGTTGGTGGACGAATTCTCGTTGCAGCAAAGTGACATTAAAAAGAAAAAAAAAATGTCCTTTCTTTTTAATGTCACTGTGCTGCAACGAAATGAACGGAACGAAAACGTAACGAACTCTCGTACAGATTACCCCTAACGGATTTAGTCCGAATCCGAATCCCGAGCCGAATTGACTTTCGGACCAGAATCCCGAAAAACGAAATAACGCAAAATCCGAATCAAAACGAAACAATTTTTTGGCAGGTGCACATGTCTATCACCGGGTCTCCCTTCTCTATTATTTCCCAGCATCAGTGCTTTGCAATCCTTTTCTCCAGGTATCTTTCACTCTCTCTCCTTACATACTCACAGATAAACGTCATAGATTGAGAAAGTGCTCCATAGTACAGATCATTAAATAATAAAAAGCGCTTTATTAAAAACAAACTACTCACATAAAGATTAAAATGATCACATAAAACGAGCCACTCCAATACACACGCTTCAATCCTCTGCAGATGCTACCGGCCATGCTCCGTGCTTTCCAGCTCCACCCTACGTACGTTGCGTCAGGTATGCAACATCATCAGGGGTGTGGCTCTGGGAAAGCCGGCAGCGCAGTATATACCGCTCTGTCTCCATACCAACAATACACAACTTTATTTGTTTCTCCTCCCTCTTGCCCAAACTGAGATGGGAGAAAAACGTTCTGACCTAATGCAGAATTCAAAGCAACACCATGGGGGCGTCAAATAAAAAACCTCTTTCCCAAATTCAGACATATGGGGGCAGCGGAAACTGACATATTAAAGGAGAACTATGAGGCAATTGCTTTTCACTCACCTCATAGTTCGAGCCGACGAGTGACAATGAGACTGTCACAGGTCGGCTCAGTAGATCGGGAAGTGAGCGAACACATACCGGCGCTCGCTCACTTCTCGATCCTGTCCCTGCAGAGAGCCGTGACTGTCACTCACCGCTCCCTGCAGGAATTCCCCCCATCGCTGTCAGATCCTCCAGCGCTGACTGGCGGAACGGATGGGGGAGGGGGCGGGTACAGCTGGCTCTGCCTCTAGATAAGCTGAGCCAGTTGTCACTCACGCAGCTGGGTGGACCTCGACAGTAATGTCAGGATCCGTCCCAGCTGCGGCAGTCTCAGTATATAGGGAGCTGTAGCTCCCTATATACTGAGCTTTGGGTGACGGGAGGACGCTAGTTTGTGTCATCCCGTGACCCTTAGGAGAACTATGGTGAAAAACACTTACCCCATAGTTCTCCTTTAAACATATAAATCCTGTATAGAAATATGCTAAAATTATATATAGATAATGAAAACATAACACGGGAAGCACATTATCAAAAACATAATTGCTACTAATGGATGAAATGTACTACCCCAAAAAAATAATGTGCATACCTATGTATAAATGCATACATGTATGTATGGAGGTGAGATCATATAGGATGGATATTGTATATATTACAGATCTTCCTCCTCTGTGTCGTCTCTTCATCACTCGTCCTGTATTATCTCTGGATGAGTCTCGGCTCTATTCAGGAAATAAGGATTCCGGCAGTCATGGGGGTTTAGTGAGAGGGGCAGCCAGCCCCAGGGTAACATGAATGCCGGGGTGACAATAAGAACCAATCAGCAGAACGGCTCTGTCTACTAAGTCACCTTATGGGGAAGTTTTATGTTTGACTGGAGTGTGCCTTTAACGTCTTCATGACTGGAGGTATTATGGGTGTAAGGGATTAAAAGTCCTCCCCGTCCTCTCCTGGGCATATTAGTTCATCTTTGATTATTCATTCTCCTCTTGTGTCAGGTTTTTCATTTCAACATCTCATTTTCCTCATCCAGAGCAACATCCCGGCCCCATTCACAGCTATAGCTGAGGCTCTTCCTCTGGGGTCATGATAACTTTCAGTCTTCGCCGGTTGGATTTCAGCTTTACCAATTCACTTTTACTTTCATCTGATAAAGGATTTTTCTCAATCCTAAAAGAGAAGATATAAATGATCATTAGATGTCCGCAGATCACTCTTACACTATTTCCTTTATTTTCAGGGGTGCAGTAATGAAGGATATGTATTATAATAATAATAATATTCATATCTTCTGGGGGATTCTGGGTAAAATACATTTTCATTGTTATAACACTGATCACAGCTATGAACACTCACTGAGTACACTGCAAACTGAGAGACTGAGGCTGGAGTGTTGTCAGTGATGAGCCCCATGATTGGAATGAATAAGTCACATGACAAAGCTGCGGAGGGAACCAGGAAGCAGTGTGAATAAGAAGTCTTTGTTTAAGATTTTTGAAGTGTTGCAGCATTTGTTGGGATCGGTGCGTACGTCCGTTAAAACACATGATGGCAGTGAACATTTGGTGTGTAAAAGGTTAACTGCGAAGTTAACCAACCTGGTGACTATCGCTGTCAGTCTGCTGGTTTGAGATAGTTTTCCAGCGAGCTGGGAAACCTCTGTGCAGGGTTAGGCTGAGAGGTATCGACACGTTCTTGTGACGCCACGCTCGGTTCAGAACTGCATATAGTCACGTGTGATTGACGTACAGCGGGTTCAGGGCGTACATCACATATTGGTGGCAGCGGTGGGATAGTTCTGTTTAAAACATTTAGTGTAGTGTTAGAGTTTAACCCTACACTAAAAAATTGTAATCTTTGTGATACAGTCTCTAGCGATAAGCCGGTGCATAGTTTGTAATTAAGACATAAAGCAACAGATCTCCCCCGCCCCCCCATCTTTTGTTTTTCTGTCCTATCTGACATACAGCAGGTTTGGGCCGGGTGTACATCACAATCTGCCTTGCTTCTCGCTCTCCTTCATGAAGAGAGGATCTCTGGTCGGTGGGGAGAGAGATAGCCGGGGGAGAGCGGCGGAGGAGGACGGATGAGCAGGCTGCATACAAGTGATCTTGACGACATCGCTGAGATCACTTGTACACAAATAATTGGCTTCCCCGCTCTACATTTAGCTTTGCTGATGCGAAGTGAAGTGCCGGTTGGGCAGTTGTTTTCTACATTTAGCCCAGCTTTGGGAAAGCCGCTCGTTCGGTTACAAGTAATCTCGCCGAGATCACTTGTATGCAACCTGCAGGACTGTCTCCCCTCTACACCCCCCTCCCCTGTCGGCTACCTCTCTTCAGATATTTTCAGGATGGAGAGCAGGAAACAGAGCAGTGAAGGGTCCATTCTCCTCTCTGCTCCATGTGAACACTGAGACGTGAGAGCTGCGCTCGCAGCCTTCCCATGTCAGCTGTCACAGGAGTTCCAGCACAGTGATGTGCTAAAACTCCTGTATTGTAGGCGGCAGGTTCAATAAAGAGAACCTGTCACCTCCAAATGCTATCACACAGGGGCTTGTTAGTTAAGTGAAAAAAAAATTGATAAAAAGTATTGGGGGTGACAGGTTCAATAAAGAGAACCTGTTACCTCCAAATGCTTTGACACAGGGGCTTGTTAGTTAAGTGAAAAAAAAATTGATACAAAAATTACAAAATAAATTAAAATGAGGAAAAATATAAGTAAATATAATAATTGACATACTGTAAATAAAAATAAAATAAAAAATAAAACTATCCCTGTTAACCCCACCATCTGGTTGCCATTCTCCATTGGGGAGGGGTTAGGTGGGGAGGGGGGCGCATTGAGGAACCTGGCCTTGGGGCAGCAGAGACAGTAAATCCAGCCCTGGGAAACAGTTCTACATCCTCCTGATTGTTAGAACGAGTCTTGGAAATGTTGTGAGCTCAGTCTCTGTGTTGGGAACACGCTATGGAGCACACATTTAGCTAAACACATGTACACATACACTATATTGCCAAAAGTATTTACATGCACATGAACTTCAATGGCATCCCAGTCTTAGTCCGTAGGGTTCAGTATTGAGTTGGCTCCGCCCTTTGCCGCTATAACAGCTTCAGCTCTTCTGGGAAGGCGTCCACAAGATTTAGGAGTGTGTCTATGGGAATGTTGGACAATGAGTTGCTGCTGTTCCCAGTTGCTTCCGCATTGTTATAATCTCACTAACAGGTGACCGCTGAATATTTAGTAGAGGGGTGTCCCAATACTTTTGGAAATATAGTGTATATGCAGCTGCACAAAAGAAGTCCTACAACCATGAGGTCACATATGTTTATGCTGGGCAGGAAGGGTTTAAACTGTCCCAGAATATTATTGTCTCAGTCAGTCCTGTTATACTCACCATAATTCCTCTATCGGGCTTGTTGTCAGAGCTTCCATCACATCCCCAAAATGACGACCCTTCAGAGAGTTCCAGGACAGGTTCAGTGTCCTAAGTGTCTGGTTATCTCTTATTCCAGATGCCAGGTCGGGGCAGGAAATGTCTGTCAGATGATTATAACCTAAACTGTAGAAGAAGAGAAGAATGTTACCAGAACACAATGAATGTCTCCCCCAGGAATGAATGGAACTATTCTCTACATGAATGGAACTCATTTCTCTTTATTGGAATCATTTATGTTCCATCACTTTATAAAAAATTATTATAGTTATTATAATTATCCAGGAAATATAATTTTATAAGAGAAATGTTATAATGGAGTAGACACCCCAATATTGTCCTCCATGTGTAGAGACGATGATATCTCCATACACAGGATGACCACAGAATACCACTGACATGACTTGTATTGTGCTATAATCTCCTTGTGTATGGAGCATGAATGGTATCAGCAGACAGTGTGAGGAATCAGCATTGCTAGTGATTGGACGGGATGATTTGTATCTGATATTCTATTTATCTCTGCTAAGAGCTCTGTACTCATAGGAAGTAATGGGGAGATCCCCGACACTGGATAGCAGATGATTAAGTCAGATGATAGAGATTTGTGTGAGGCTTTGATTGGTCATCGCAGTAAGATCAGATCCCCCGTGTATGACTTCCTATTATCTCATCTATATTAACCCTTTTGCTGCCAATGCCTTTTTTTGCATTTGGAAGCCAAGTGCACTGTCAGTATCACTGGAATAGTGTACACACAGTGCACCTGGATCCCACCTATCCACTATTATGTAGGCTTTGGGCCTTTCATTTAAGCCCTTCCCATTTTTAAAAACAATATGGACACACCCACCATAGCTCTGCCATCCACCTCATCTACTACCCCGTCCTCAGTCTCAGGAATTACAATTTTAAAAAATTCCTAGGTATGCTTATGCTCAGCAGAAAGGGGTTAAACTGTCCCAGAATATTATTGTCTCAGTCAGTCCTGTTATACTCACTGTAATTCCTCTATCCGGCTTGTTGTCAGAGCTTCCATCACATCCCTGAAATGACGACCCTGCAGATAGTTCCCAGTTAGGTCCAGTGTCCTCAGTGTCCAGTTGTTTCTTATTCCAGATGCCAGGTCGGGGCAGGAACTTTCAGTCAGGTAATTATTTTTCATGCTGTAGAATAAGAGAAGAATGTTATTAACTCACATTGAACTTGTTCACAGAGGTTCGTAAACTAAGTGGCTGGAACTAAGTGGCATTAAAACATTGACATTTAAACAAATGGAGTTTAATCTGCAAGTACTATCTTTAACTTCTTATAACTGATATAAACATTGTAACTGGGATAATGTTCTATGGTTGAAGGGTTTGTTCAGTGCACACTGTGCCACATGTATACACATAATAGAGGTTTCTTATAGAGGAAAGACAGGGAGACCCATTATTTCATTTTACTGTAGTTCACCCTTTCAGAGCCACCAACAGTGTTATCCTGTGCTAGGATATCACTGACCAGGGAAGGGGGACGCTCAGTTCACCTTTATGGGATAACCTGAAATATGAATACATAAATGCTGTATGGAAAACGAATAATCAAGGTGAAAGTTAATGAATGTTACATGAATATATTGTAATTTGATATATGTGGGGTAGATGTGTAAAATGTTGTAAATGTATCATATTGAGAAACAGCCCAAGGAACTTCTAGAATAATTATGAATTACATTATAGGACAAAATATATATTAAGATGGATAGATTATCATAAATTCCTCAGCCAACGGGACAAAGGTTCTCACGCTTTGAACAGCCCCACAAACTTTGCCAATGTCACGACCAAACACTGCAGAGGTATTTTAACAAGGAAAGAAGAGGGGGACATTGGTCATTAATTGATACTTTGGTCTTTGGACAGAGGCCTAACTAGTGACCTCAGGTCCCCGTTGCAAGAATCCATGAAGGGGCCCCCCAAACCACGATGAAAAAATTAGATAAATTTTTTTTTTAAATAAACACATTTTAGAAAAAAACCCAAACACTCTCCTCTTTCATGTCTCCAGCTCCCCATTATCTCCCCCTTCATGTCCCCATTACCTCATCCTTCATGGCCCCTGCTCTCTTCTCCCTGACCCAACACTCTCCTCTTCCATGTCCCCAGCTTCCCCCCATCTCCCCCTTCACGTCCCCAGCTTTCAGCTCCCTGACCCCACACTCTCCTCTCCCATGTCCCTTATTACCAGCCCCCTATATCTCCCCCTTTGTGACCGCAGCAGGTTTCTCATATCCAGAGAGTTGGAGCTTACGATAGCACACAGGCAGCTCTATGGTCGGCAGCCGTTCTGTGTGATGAGGGGGAGGGAATATCCTTGCTTCCCACTCATTGGCTGCTGCGCCGGCTCAATCATACTTCACGCTGCGCCCGAAACAAGGTGAGGGGCGCAGCGTGAAGCACACAGGGCCCAGGACAGGAGGAAGATGCCCCGGTACTGATATTAGCGGTTACCGGGATATTACATATCCTGGTAATCATCGGTTACTAGGGGCCCTGTCCTCCTGTCCTGGGCCCCCTCTAAGTGGCGGAACTCCAGGGCCCGGTCGCAGTTGCGACCTCAGCGCCCCTGGTAGTTCCGCCACTGTCGTTGGATACACACACTTCCTGGATGTACTTCCTGTTCATTGAACTTCCTCTCTGAAATCACTGCATTGAAATCTGCTTTTCTGGACACTCACTGCTGGACTGACCAGACGAATAGAATACTCTTTCTATTGGAGAATGAATCCCTGACGTATTTCCTGGAATGGTTTGAGTTTAAATACTGTTATTCAGTATAGTGATTGAAGTTTATTTTTTATATATAAAAAATTGTAATTTAATTGTTTATATGCTTAATTATTTATTTTGGTAAATCATAGGTTTAAATTATTTAATATAATCCACTATAGAAAGTAAACTTACTTATATACTTTTCCATATATTTGAATATTTTACAAAGCTTTTTTTGCTGTTTTTAACCCAGACAGAAACAAACTCTTTATTTCTTGATTATCGGGCATTATTGTTATATTTCATCATTCATTAATAATTTCCTACTTCTGGTCAAAGTGGGTGGAGGCACTAATAATTAATTAATTAATAATTATAATCTGGTTCTTATGCCTGGCAATGAGCAACATAGGAAAGGCAGCAGGAGCTAAATGCATGGCTAAAAACCTGGTGTAAGAAGGAAGGCTTTGGGTTTCTAGAGCACTGTGCTGACTTTTCCTTGGGGTACAACCTGTATGCTCTGTATCTAAATGTAAGGGGGTCTGCTGTGCTAAGGGAGAGGATTATAGGAAGTGTGGGGGACTTATCAAAAATCGGATTGTCCCCTAATTAAAGAAATCCCTTACGACATCCTCTTGCTGTGGACAGGGGATATGGACCTCCTCAGAGACTTTGTTGACATATTAAACTTTAACGATTTGAATCTAAAATTTACCTTCACCCATGACTGTAATAGGTTACCCTTTTTATCTGTCAATCAATTGATTACTGGATTGTCTATATATATATAAACTTTGGAGTATGTATGGGACTCCTGATGTCCTTTGCGGTTGAGTTTGGACTGGCGATATAATATTATGGGTCTTTTCTAGGGGATGAACCCCCATGTTGAGTTATCGGTTACAACTCAATTTTCCGCACCTGTATATATTTTTACATGACCTTGAAACATATGTGTCGATTCTAGTTATAATAGCAGTAACTATTCATTACCACCTATTTGATCCCATGAGTAGCCCGTCGAAACTCCATCATTTTTCACATCAGGAGCCCCTTTTCAGCCCGTATAGATGTATATGATGTTATATGATGTCTAAAGGCTATTTCTCCATCACCATAAATCAGTTAAAATATATATGTACTTGTGACTGTATGTGGGTAAAGGGATTTAGGATCTTTTTATTTTTTATTTTATTTACTTACTTAAGGCTCCACAGGTGCTATTATAGTATATTAAAATATGTGCAATATCATCAGTATATTTTTTGAAAAACGATATGGCCCGCTGACTGTGTGATATCCGGCAGTCTATTAGCCTCATTAACTAGCTATTTAATACATCCTTGCAAGAGTTTACAGCACACGCCCCTCTGAGGAAGCCCCCGTGTGGGGAGGAAACGCGTCAGGGCTACGTGTGTCAACCACTTCCCTGGACACTCGCACTAACTCATCCCGCACGCCAGTCCCGGTAGATGCATATCCCGGCTGGGTTTAAGAGTGTGGAGACGGAGCACAGCCGGTTCGAAATGGTGTGAGTCTAGCTGAATTGGAACCCTCCAGCAGAGTTTGATTGAACAGATCTGACGACTGTTTGCGGTAACTACACATCTTGCGGATCTCTGAGTGTACCTGGAATTTTTCACTGTGGAGACCCCTGCTTCTACCGCTTTTGTTGTTTACTGTGCGGCCGCACATATATTTTGCAATTTGAAATCGAAGTCCGCGGGTCAGTGAGAGTCCCAAGTAAGGGGAGAGGGAAGGGCGCCTACATCATTTCAGCCCTACCAACATACCCCTCTCTCTGGATCTTAAACCACAGCCACCGGACACACTAACTGAAGTGAAAAATTATCCAACCATCCAGCACTGTGGGATTCGAGCAGGACTGTCTCTCCCCAAGCCGTATGAGCTGTGAGTAACTTTGGATACTTTGTATCCGTATACGAAATACAGTGCATGTATCTGTTTTAACCAGGGCTTTGCTACATCAGCTGGCTTGCTGACCCTTCGTGTTACTTTAACTACTGTCTGTTCAAGGGAAGTTTTTTAATTGATTTTAATGTCTTGCTGTGGATGTATTGTTTTGTTCATATTCGTTTCTTTATGATTAAATATTAATTTTTTTTAAATTTAATTATATGTTATACCTGTTTACTGAACCAGCTCCGAGAAAGGGATTTCTTTAATTAGGGGACAATCCGATTTTTGATAAGTCCCCCACACTTCCTATAATCCTCTCCCTTAGCACAGCAGACCCCCTTACATTTAGATACAGAGCATACAGGTTGTACCCCAAGGAAAAGTCAGCACAGTATTGAAAAACGATATGGCCCGCTGACTGTGTGATATCCGGCAGTCTATTAGCCTCATTAACTAGCTATTTAATACATCCTTGCAAGAGTTTACAGCACACGCCCCTCTGAGGAAGCCCCCGTGTGGGGAGGAAACGCGTCAGGGCTACGTGTGTCAACCACTTCCCTGGACACTCGCACTAACTCATCCCGCACGCCAGTCCCGGTAGATGCATATCCCGGCTGGGTTTAAGAGTGTGGAGACGGAGCACAGCCGGTTCGAAATGGTGTGAGTCTAGCTGAATTGGAACCCTCCAGCAGAGTTTGATTGAACAGATCTGACGACTGTTTGCGGTAACTACACATCTTGCGGATCTCTGAGTGTACCTGGAATTTTTCACTGTGGAGACCCCTGCTTCTACCGCTTTTGTTGTTTACTGTGCGGCCGCACATATATTTTGCAATTTGAAATCGAAGTCCGCGGGTCAGTGAGAGTCTCAAGGAAGGGGAGAGGGAAGGGCGCCTACATCATTTCAGCCCTACCAACATACCCCTCTCTCTGGATCTTAAACCACAGCCACCGGACACACTAACTGAAGTGAAAAATTATCCAACCATCCAGCACTGTGGGATTCGAGCAGGACTGTCTCTCCCCAAGCCGTATGAGCTGTGAGTAACTTTGGATACTTTGTATCCGTATACGAAATACAGTGCATGTATCTGTTTTAACCAGGGCTTTGCTACATCAGCTGGCTTGCTGACCCTTCGTGTTACTTTAACTACTGTCTGTTCAAGGGAAGTTTTTTAATTGATTTTAATGTCTTGCTGTGGATGTATTGTTTTGTTCATATTCGTTTCTTTATGATTAAATATTAATTTTTTTAAATTTAATTATATGTTATACCTGTTTACTGAACCAGCTCCGAGAAAGGGATTTCTTTAATTAGGGGACAATCCGATTTTTGATAAGTTTTGTTGAAACCCTGGAGATTGGTATATTACATATCAGCAGTGTTTTGGCGTAACTCCCAATGTTCCCCTGTTTGCTGTACAAATAGAAGTTTGGGGGACTATTTAAACTAGGATTGAGGGGGAGGTAGAGTTAGAATTAAGGAATCACCGATACCATTTGTTCCATGTCGAGTACAAGTACAGATTCTTTTCCTCAAGTACTCGCCGACACCAATTACCAATACCTTTTTTTAGTGTCATGTAACAGTTTTTCTAAAACAATACAGATTAATGATTTTAGGGCAGTGGTGGAGTGCTCGGGCCCGGTTTCAGCTCCACCCGCATCAACTCTGGTATTTCTGCCACTGACTCCAAGCTGTAGAGGGACTAGAAATCTCAGCAATACATTATATAGCAAGGAAAAATACCACAGGCTATAGAGGATTTCAAATGCCAGCAATACATTTCTACAGCAATGCAGAATACCATCAGCTATAATGGACTACAAATCCCAGCAATACATTATACAGCAATGCAGAATACCACCAGCTACAGAGGACGACAAATCCCAGCAATACATTATAAAGCAATGCAGAATAATATGAAGCTACTTACTATGTGTTGCTCTGCAGTGGCGGCCTGATGTCTCCATGGTCTTAGGTGGGCTGTGCAGAGTCTTAGGTGGGCTGCATAGGGTCTTAGGTGTCTGTGCAGGATCTCAAGTGGGCTGTGCAAGGCCTCAGGTGGGCTATGCAGGCAGCAGAATCCACAGGAAGGAGGAGGAGTAGATGCAGCACATCTTACAGTGCCGTCTGCACAAGGTCCCCAAAAGGCAGCTATGAGGTCCCCAGCAAGCACAGGACCGTATGGCAGCCACTTGTGTTTAAAAATTTAAAGCACCAATATAGGCGCTTAGTATGGGGCATTTTTACAAGTACGAGGACTCGTGAAAATGCCCAGTATCAGCACCGATACCGGTATTAGTATCAGTGCATCCCTAGTTAGAATACAATGGGGCAGATAAGTCACACAGGGGTCAGACTATAAAGGAGGGTGGAACCCTGAATTGAGAAAGCTGGTTGGATGACCAGTTGCCTTGACTTATTTTTTACAGATATTAAGCACCAGAGATTGTTGATCCCAGGAATAGCCAATTGCCTTATGGGATCAGGAAGGAATATTTTTTTCCCCTGTTGGAGCAAATTGAACCATGCTTTATAGGGTTTTTTTGCCTTCCTCGGCATCAATTGTGGGCATAGCGTTCTGTTTTAGGTTTTTCTTTCTTTTAAAAAAAATCTCTATAGGTTGAACTTGGCGCACTTGTGTCTTTTTTTCAACCTAACTATGTAACTAGGGATGCACCAATACCGGTTTTTCGATATCGAGTACCAGTACCGATATTTTTTTTTTTACTCGCCCATACCGAATACTGATACCGAAAGTCCCATTAAGGAAGCCAGGCAGCATGTAATGACTCGCCACCCGGCTTCCCGATTAGCAAGGATGCCATCTCCATTCTCCCTTGTCACTAGGTGACGAGAAAGCATGGAGCCGACTTTCTGGCCAATCAGGAAGCCAGGCGCCATGTAATGACGTTCTACCCAGCTTACTGATTGGTCGAGAAGGTGGCCAATCAGGAAGTCGGTCAACACGTCATTACACAGCGCCCGGCTTCCTGATTGGCCGGGAAGCCGGCTACATGCTCCCTCGTCACCACAAGTAACAAGGGAGCATTTAGCCAGCTTCCCGGCCAATAAGGAAGCCTGTAATGAATCGCTGCCCGGGTACCTGATGCCGGAAACTCAAGTATCGTGCTAGACACGGAGCATTTGGGCGAGTACATGTACTTGGCCAAATACTCGGCATCGGCACCGATACCGATACTAGTATTGGTATTGCTGCATCCCTAGATGTAACTATGCTATTACCATGACCCACCATCAACAAAACCCTCTAAATAAATTCTCCTCTCCTGGCATTCACAGCGATACTACACATGTGAACATTATTTGTTGTTTGTACTCATAGTGGAGCCCAGAAACAACAGTGAGCATTTTGCTTTTATTTATCCTTCCTAAAACACACTAACACTGACCTAGATTTAAATATTTTTTCTTCTTCTTCTTCTTTCTAATTCTTATTTATTTATGTGTTTTTTATGCAGTCTTTTCTTATTTATTTATGTTATGCAGTCTTTTCTATATGTAGTATCTTTTCTGCATGTCTGTATTCTCTACTGTATGCTCAACAGGAAGGGGTTAAACTGTCTCAGAATATTATTGTCTCAGTCAGTCCTGTTTTACTCACTGTAATTCCTCTATCCGGCTTGTTGTCAGAGCTTCCATCACATCCCTGAAATGAGGACCCTCCAGATTGTTCACAGACAAGTTCAGTGTCCTCAGTGTCTGGTTATTTCTTATTACAGATGTCAGGTCGGGGAAGGAAATGTCTGTCAGCTGATTATTAGACAAACTGTAGAAGAAGAGAAGAATGTTACCAGAAGACAATGAATGTCTCCCCCAGGAATTAATGTAACTATTCTCTACATGAATGGAACTCATTTCTCTTTATTGGAATCATTTATGTTCCATCACTTTATAAAACTCTAGGAAATTTAATTTTATAAGATAAATGTTATAATGGAGTAGACACCCCAATATTGTCATCCATGTGTAGAGACGATGATATCTCCATACACAGGATGACCACAGAATACCACTGACATGACTTGTATTGTGCTATAATCACCCAATCCCCTACAGTGCCCTCCAGCCACTTAAAGTGCCCTTAGCTCTCCGCTGTGCTCCCAGCCCCCTGCAGCAGCCTTCGTTTCCCCAAAGTGCCTCCGGGCCTCTATAGTATTCCCCAGCCCCACATAGTACCCTCCAGCCTCCCAAAATTCTCTAAGCTTCTTACAGTTCCCCAAGCCTCACACAGTGCCCTACAGTGTCTCTCAGCCCTCTGCACTACCCTCAGCCTTTCCACTGTGAGCTAGACTCCCAATTGCCCTCCAGCTGGCTGCAGAACCACCAACCCCCACAGTGCCACCCAGCTCTTTTCATTGCCCGAAAGACATCCTAATTTTTCCTCCCACTGACACCGTCAGGGCATTTTTTTCCTCCCACTGATGCTGTGGCATTCTTTCTCCCATGGACTACCGACACTGCTACTGAAATTGGCATTGCTAAAGTAGAATACCTTGCCTGATGCCAGGAGGATGACTGCTCAAGTATGGATAGAAGAAGGTGTTTAGACAAAGATGGACAGATTCTGGTGGTATGGTTTTCTATTATTAGAAGGGCAGGCTGGGTAATCAGTCGCAAAGATTGTGATCGCAAAGAAAATTCATTACTTTCTTGACAGAAAACCATGGACTAACTGATCTTTATACCCCATTGTGTCTCACTGGTATAAAATAACAGATCAATAAATCAGAACATATGAATGTTTATCCTCAGAAATGAGCATGAATTGTTTCATATTAATGGATTACCATTCACAGCAGTATAACAAAAGGTTGAAAGTATAACTCCAATTTTCAGTGCAGGTCATGAAGGACTTATTCACACCAGGCCACATGCTTAAACGTCCACGACTGGTGTCTGTTATATAGGGGTGATGGTGAAGGGTGGTGCCTTGGGCTGTTACAATACAAGGCACTGTTTCCCTTTTATTTTCTTCTTTGTTTTAACTTGCAGTGCTAGAAAGGATTAGGTGTGACGTATTGCAAATAAAGTATCATGTATCCAATGCAACCCATTTCAGTTCAGCATTGTGCTGGGAAACAATTGTTGTATTACTTGCTCTGGTGTTGAGCCTGTGATGATCTATGCAGATAAACTGATCTCAACTGAAATTATGTGAATGGTCCCTTAGAAGTCACTGTCCCTGCAGGTTGAACATGAATTCACGGCACATTTACCAGTTTCATCAAATCGCAATCACATGTTCATCTATATGAGCCGTGTGATCTCCAATGTATGGTGACTTGGTGGTCATGAGTATGCTGATGAATAAAAGCCATATGTTTATTTTTTAAACTTCCCCTGGTGATTATCAAAAAATTATGTTGAGAATGAAAGCTTGTAACAAGTATTTTAAAAAAATATTGTGAAGATCTGTAATTCGCCTTGTGTTTAATTATGTTTGGCATATTATGTTGTTATTTGAGGTTTTTTACAAAACAGAAAAAAGGCACCAAGATAGTATCTTAAAAATGTAAAGGTATACTACACTATCTATTATTTTAATCCTTAGTTTAGTGTTTTTATTTTATTGTGAAATGTTGAAAGAGAAGAAAATACACAAGAAACAAATAACAAAATCTTACAGAACTTACAGATAAACCATAAGTGCTGCTTAAAGCACATTTCCGTAAAAACTACCATAAACTAACGAAAAGCTGAAGTTTAATCCTCTTATAGTTTTCCTTATAATAAAAAAAATATATCATTTCCTCCTGGGGTCACACATAAGAGGGAAGATATACTGTAGGCCGTGCTGGGCTCTTGTAGCTCTGTAAGGTCAGAGACCCCACAGACACTGGACCAATACTATCACTGCTACGTGTCTGACAGACATCCCAGAGATCCCATTCTGCTGCCTCTACTCATCTGTTCATTCTGTGCCGTCATCCAATGTGATCACATCAAAACATATAAAGTTCTCATATAATAGAAGACAAGTAACACCAATAATTAGTCATTTCTCTGGGAGATTGCTGATCATTCCAGTTTAACACAGAAATGGGATTATTCATAGTTATTCTTTACCTCAAACTCCTGATGTTGTGAAGAGCCGGTGCAAGTTTCCTCAATCCTTCATTCTGAATATTACATGATTGTAGATCTACTTCTTGTGTCTCTCTGCAGGATTGAAGGATAAAAGACAGCACAGAGCAGTCCAGAGGGCTGAGGAGGACATTAGATAAGTCAACTTTGTTTGATCCAACACATTGTGACACCAGAGCCGTATTCCTGCTCTCATGGAGATAGTAGAAGACATTAAGAAGATCTCTCTGGTCTCCTCGTTCTTTTCCCATCTTCTGCTGCATCCAGGTGATGACATGTCTGGCAGCCTGAGTAGACAATTCTCCCACATGAGACTTTAACATGGATCTAGTAGAAGAGTCTGAGAGACCACAGAGGAAACGGAGAAATATTTCAGCACGGCCATCATTGTAAGATTCAGCATTATCAAGTGTTTCCTGTAGTCTGTCCGGATTATAGGTAATGAAATGGACTAAAGCAGCAAAAAACTCCTGAAGAGTGAGATGTAAGAAGGTGTAATCCACATCAGGAGGCTGACCAGATTCCATCATGAAACATGAAAAGAGATGTTTATCATTTCTCACACTGAATGAGTCCAGATGACGCTCATCAAATACAATCATGTGATTCATGACTCCATGTTCTGCCATCCACCCAATAGATGTCAGCAGTTCCCGGGCAGTGTGACCACCATCTTTATTCTGGCTGTGATTGGCCAGAATGTTGGAGACAAAAGTCACAAAGAGTTGTGTCACTGTTTTGGGCAATGATGTCATCAGCTGATCAGTGATTGTTGGTTGGGCTCTGAAGTACATTGATAACACTGTACAGATGATCCAGCAGTATGATGGGATATAACAGAAAGTGTACAGCGTGTCATTCTCCTGCACATAATGAAAAGCCTTTTCTGACAATTCCTCATTTCCAAAGAAATTCCTAAAGAAGGTCAGTCTGTCTCCATGGAGAAATCCCATGATGTCCACTATTCTCTGGAAGACACCAGTATCAACTGAGGCCAGTCTGGTTGGCCGGCCGGTTATCAGAACAGAACAACCCTTAAGAAGACTCTGCTTCACCAAGCTGACCACAATCTCACCAATATCTGTTCTACGATCTGCCAATGTGCACAATTCAATTAATCTGAACTCCATTTGGTGAACACTTTCATCTAAGCCATCAAATATAAACAGAAGTCTCTCTGGATGTTGTAAAATATCTCCAATCTGACTCCTCAGATACGAATATTGTTGAAGAATCATCTCCTCCAAGCTGACCTCTCCCAGTCCATTAAGGTCCCGGAATCTGAAGAAGAAGACAAAATCAAATCTCTGGTAGTGTTTTCCGGTCACCCAGTCATAGACAAACTTCTGTATCAGTGTGGTCTTCCCTATTCCTGGCACTCCGCTCACCATTACTGCATGTGGTGCACATTGTGACTGGTGGCTCCAGCGGAATAGCTTGTCGGGGGAAATGTGTTCCAGTCCAGATTGTGTTTTCTTCAAGCATTCCTCATGTCTCACCCCGGTCTGTATTATCTCATTCTGGGGACGTTCCCTGAACTGATCAGAGGAGACTACAACCAGGTTCACATAACGCTCATTGATGAGGAAACTTTGTGGTTCTAGGGTAGTTCCTGGGGGTCTATGCTCCACTAGAGTCTCCGTCTTCTCCAGCAGATGTTGTTTGTGCTTCATCTGAATTTCTGGGAAGAAATAAAAATAATTGACTTAGGGTAAAGCAGACATTGGAAGAATGATTTCATCCAAATTTTAATTTTTATAGTTTTCAACACTTTGATTTTGCTTTTGGTATACAATCAGAGCCGGTTCACAACATCTCACACAATTCTGTCTGATTAACACATTACTGCACAACAGACCTCCTGTGCGATTACAGGACGGGAGGTGTGTTGCATGCCATTCATACCATTCATATGCGTATCTCCTGCCTGCAGTGTGATTGGCTGCTCTGTAACCAGATTGGCTGAAACAGTCACCAAAGACTGGCAGGAAAGAGATGGAAGGGTGACCAAAGAAGACTAAAGGCACTATTGATAACAGATTGTGTGCTTGCAGCTTCACAGCACCATGACAGACTATTGAACAACACTTCTGGCTTTGGAACTCATAGTGGACTCCAATGGATGCAATGTGCCGTTAAAAGACATTTTCGACCTTCCTTACAGACACTTTGTTTGAAATAGGGGACATCACCACTTCAGAATACTCAAAAGAAACTAAGTAAAATTTGGGTGACAAGCGGCAGCAAGAAGAGACCTTGACATGGCAAGCAGTAGGTAGACCAGGAACCGGTTTCACAACACATATATAGACTATTGGCTGCAGGCTGAAGGAAAAACAATTACCATAGTAAAAATACACTGGCCCAGGCAACATAAGAACTTCTAGAAGAATATACCACCAAAGGTTTAAATAAAATGTTCTTTACTCAATTTTCAACAGGCAGACAGAAATGGCACCGGCTGGAGCATCTATTTAGATAACCCGGACCCACCAGGTTGAAATACTAACTTATTTTCTAGATGATCTTCAGCAGATACAATTAAATAACCTCCAAAATGTTCAAGCATTTAGGACTTATTTATCTTTATAAAAATCAATGTATCCACATTATCTCTGAACAGCCGTGTCTACTTCTCATTGAGGACT